TTGTTGAAACTGCAAAGGAAGCAGTTTTGAAACTATTGTAGGTATTGTTTTTTTAGAAGGTGTGGTGTGGTTCTTGTTTAGGCATCTCCCCTTGCAATGGCTTCATTTTAATACTCTTTTAAGTAACCTTAAGTGATCTTGCTTCTCTGCTAATCTTCCATATTTTTTTAATCTGGGGAAGTCATTTATTTCCTGAGTGGCAGAAGAGGATTACCTTTTCTTTGCTGAATGTTCTTGGGAGAGGTAAGGAAGTTGTCTGTAGAAGACTTCTTAGTATGTTAATGGCACTTCTAGGAAAGTAGAATGCTACTTAAACCTGAGGTATTAAAACAAACAAACAAACAAAAAAACCCAAGAATGGTTTTATGGTTTGAATTTAAAGGTGGTGATGTTTTCATTCAGTTTTGTATATTGGTAAGTGGAGTGTATTTACTACAAAAAGAATGTGATCTTCGTTAACATGCCAGCAAAAATTGGGAAGAATGGCCTTCCCAGATTGGTTTGACCATTTTTAAGATACTAGTATGTTGTAACTTAATAGGTAACAGACACAGATGTGAGAAAGTCTTGGTTCTATTTTTCCTTAGCTAAGTTATTATATGCTTACAAGTAATCGTGTAATACTAATTTATACTTTCTTTCTTTACAGGGTATGGTCTTCGTTGCCACCGAGCTATTATTACCATCTGCAAACTAATTGGCATTAAAGACATGTATGCCAAGGTTACTGGATCTAAAAACTTGATTAATATTACTAGAGCTCTCTTTAAAGGATTGACAGAACAGGTAGATTACATTCCTTGGGTTCTGTTAATTAAATCAGAGGACAGGATGGGATTGATATTGTAGTAGTCTGTGATTTAAAAATGTTGTATTCTGCATTAATGCATGTTACTAACATGTCAGTGTGCATCCTTATTAGCAAGATGCACTTTTTCTGGCAGCCAGACCTCTTCCAGAATCAATTTCCTGTAGAATAACATGGTAATGCTAATTACCTGAATCCCTGCTGCTTATTATTAGCTTATTTGAAATCCACAAGGATCCTTCTGATGAGTCTTTTAGTTTATGCAGCGTTGAAAATGTTTGTTGGTAAACATTTTTCCTACCCCATATAGTGTGTATGTATTTGACCTCAAGTAAGCCAACATCATGCATCATTGCTCCTGAAGTTAATGTTTTCTTAGGGATGATTTAAATTGGAATCGGCCAGAAGCAGGAAACAAAACAGCCTTTCTTGTAATATTAATTAGCCTGAGACTTTTAAAAATAGTTTTGTCTTTTTCCTGCTCCCTCTCTGCCCCCAGGAGACTCACCAGCAGTTAGCAAACCAGAAAAACCTCTACGTGGTGGAGTTCCGGGAGGAGCAAGGCCCACTGCCCATCGTCGTGGCACTGCCTGAGGGCACCGTCCGTGAGGATCCTGAGCCTGAGGATGAGGTTCCAGACACTAAACTGGAGTGGTGTGAGGTTAAAGAAGCTCAGGGAATGAAGAAATCCCCCTGGGCAAATGTTAGGCGGACAGTATGGTAAAAAATAAAATAAAATCAGTACCTATATCTCTTCTGCTCAGAGATGCGGCTGTGAAAGCCCAGCCCAAATGGGCAGGCTTACATTTCAGAAGATGCCTACAGTAGATTTCATACCGTTCGTGTTGCTGCTCTCATTACTACCATTCAGTAGCAGTTTGCTTTCCCACAACTCTTCTGATCACTGTTCAGCTAGGAACATACAGAAGAAAGCAGCCAATGGACATGACATTGACTTCAAGCATGCGTTTACTTGATTCCTGCAGATGTGTAATCAACAGATCCCGTGTTTCCTTCATAAATTCTTGGGAAACGACTGAAAATACAAGATTGTGGAAGCAATAAAAAATCCTCAGAATGAATTTGCTGGAGGAGTTGTCGTCTTTTTTGCAGCGTAGTGGGGCAACTGAAATCAAGAAGGTAGAAGATTTGTAGCTCAAAGGAGATAGGCAGTGATGAAGGGCAACAGCTGAATCTGTGCGAACACTAGTTGTGAAAGTTGGGGGAGTTCCCCAGTTGAAGCAGAGCCCAAATATCTGAAGACAGTAATCTCTCAATCTCCTATTTTAGCTGGTGTTGGAAGCGCAATCCAAAACCTGCAATCACATCTTTCTTACAGAACTTGACTTTCCTTTGCATATGTGCTGGGATAGGACTTGGCTTTCGTCACTGCCAATTTGGTTCTGAGAAAAGCAATATCTTGAGCTCTGTCCAAGACTTAGAAAGTGTTACAGCTGTTGAGATGAAAGAAAAAAGAGAAAGTTTGTGATGTGCTTATTCTCAGAGAAGGAGTAAACCCCTTCATGTAGCGGATCTCCAACTGAAGCATGCAGAGGTAGGTGCTAGAAGCTAGAATAGCTCAGTGGTTGGGAGATCTATCACCCAAGAGCTGGAGGAAGTTTAAGGCCCTCCTTGAGCCCACAAGATAGCCACTCATGGTTGACTCTGCAATGCGTCTGAAGCAGTGCTTTGTCATTGCTGTCCTCAGAGTTAATGGGGTTTTGATGCTTAATTAACTATGAGAGAGAGAGCAGAGTGGGGCTGATGGCATCCATGTGATGATCGGAAGTGGGGAATGGTCCAAAAGTTTGGCTAAGGAGGGAGAGAAGCAGACACAAATCAGGCTCTGCTCCAGACCCACGTAAAACCTTGATACTTTCACAGAAGTTAGCTTTTGTGGGTTTTCCATTTTCCAAGATTATTCATCTTAATACAGATGATTGCATAGGTGTCTTTACCTAGCATACAATTTGCTCATCGCTCACTGACAAAGCTCGCTGTAAAATGAGAAACAGCAGGCTCTCCTGCACTTTTTCATGGTGCTAATTGTAATTCTCTGTTCAATTTCTTTGCTTTCAGACAAAGCAAATTCTGCAATTTGGGAGAAAATGTAAGTGCTTCTAACTCAGTGCATCTCTGGAGGCAAGGTAATTGAGGTACCTGTATGCAAACATTTGGGTAACCACTAACATTACAGCTAAGGCATTCTTCAATTTAGCAAGAACAACCGAGATAACAATCTGGACATAGTTAATGAATGATATACGTCTGTAATCTTGTTTGCATCAAAAGACCTGAAGTTTTACATACCTTCAAGTGGCTGGTTTGTTTTTAACTACAGTATAGTTGCCTTATCTCTACAGTGCATGCTTGCAGACCCTTGTTTTGCTTAGGAAACTGGATTTTAAATGCTCCCCGAGAAGGCTGGTTTATGGCTTTTTAAATGGGCTCTTACTGACTTATGTCTTCAAGGGAATTCTGCAGATGGAGAGGATGCTAGAGAGCAGGTGCTAGGGGTCCAGAAATACCTGACTTTTGCTTTTTAGGAACTTATCTTTGTCTATACAGTCATCCAGATCCCAAATGGATGTGGTCCAAGTGGCCTGGTGAAGCTTTGGGTGAACTCTGTTGTGAGCTGCCCAGCTTAGAGGGCATGACAGACCTCATACTGGACAGGGAGGATGGAAGGGCTGGGTGTGACAGGCAGTGGAAATCTTTGAGTGCTTTTTTCTGTTTTTCTTTGCATGGAATATGCCTGTTGCTGCAACTCACCTGCAGCTCTGCTGCATCTCCCTCTCACCCAGCTGTTCCTGGTGTAGGAACACTCATTTGCCTCCAAGCTGGTTGGCTGCATGGGGTTCAATTTGGTGCCACACAGGGGGTTTCAAAGCCCTGTGCTTTTGAAGTGCTGTGAAGTGCTGCTTCGTAAGATGTTTGTATGGATGCTCTTGACCCCATGGTGGTCCTAGGCAGAGGCTTCCCCAGGTTTCCCAATCCCAAGCCTGCACCCTCAGGCAGGCTGAAAGGAAGGGCATGGACAAATGAACCAGCACAGACTGGTGCAAACTGGTGTGTTGCAGGGAAAAGAACAGTAAGGCAAAGTGAGGTGGGGAGGGGACAGACTAAGTGACAAGACACTGGCTGCAAATGGGATAGTTGTAGTGCATAGGGATGCAGAGGTGAGGGAGACATAAGGCAGCACTTGGAGCTATGGTGTTGGCCGTGCCTGGATGTGAATATAACACAGGCACTGTGTTCCAGGCTGCAGAGTGTGACCCCCAAATATTTGCAGAAAGATATTTCTGTGCTACGTTCAGAGCAGTGCAAAGTGTGACATCAGCACCTTCCCCATGACGATGTGATGTTGAAATAAGTTTCAGCAGGTGCCTTGAATTGAGTAGTGCCGTCATACACAGCTCCTGAGTTGCCTCCCTGCTCTGAAAAAGGATTTTTTTTTCCTACATCTGTTGCAATCAGCTCATTTTTGTTACTAGCATGAAAAAACAGGTCAGGCTGGTTTTCAGCAAGGACAAAAAAATGAATCCAGTGTTTTCTCCATACTGCAGTTTAAAAGTTTCAACCCTCAAAACCCTCAGGACATGAAACAACAGAGGTGTTTCTATGTCCAGTTCTGCTTCCCTTCCCTTCCGCAGTCCTTGTTGTTATTCATGAGTTTCAGACTGAAGGTAGCCCCACAAGCTTAGAGGACTAATCTGCTACCACTGCATTTTAGGTTTCTATTAAAAAAAAGCACCCTTTTTTGGGTCTAATTCCCCCATTTAAAATAACTCACTTGACATAATACTCTGGAGTAAATTATGTGATCAGATGAACATCATCGCTGACGCTAGCTTGTGCCTGTAGCAACTGGACAAGAGGTAATGGTTAAACTAAAAGAGGGGAGATTTGTAAGACACGAGGAAGAAATTTTTCACTAACAAGGCAGTGAGGCACTGGGGCTGCTGCCCATAGAAGCTGTGGGTGCACCATCCCTGGAGGTCTGGAGGCCAGGTTGGATGGGGCCCTGAGCAGCCTGAACTGGGGGGGCAGCCCTGCCCACAATGGAACCAGTTGGTCTTTGAGGTCCAACCCATGTTATTGTAGGATTCTTTTATTCATGCCTGGATTTGTGCCTCGTTCTTGGGCGCTGCCCTGCTGCTGTATGCATCAACTGTAAGGGGAAGTTAGTGACAGTGGCCTTTGTCTGGTTGTAAAATCATAGGAAATCCATCTTTATTAATGACATAGTGCCAGTATATGTGAGAACAGTCACATGCTGAAGACAAGAGCTAATTGCATCTGCTTATCTGAGACATTATTCTAATTATTCATATAATTCTGCTGTAGTATCTATAGTACGTTTCCTTAGTTGTGTTTCATGGGGGAATCTGTGGCAGCAATAATTCCTGGGGTTATAGTTGTGTCTTGTAATTCAGCAGTACCTTTCAGGTGTTGCAGGGAATTCATTGCACCTGAATGCTGCCTTTACTCCTTCTCACAAGTCACAAGTGGCATTTTCAAAAATGGCATGGAAAGTTCTTTTGGCACAGCAAATGAGGAAGGCAAAGAGGTTTACACAGATGCATGTCAACCAAAATGACCAGGTTTCATTCTTCTGCTGTGTATCACCAGTTGTTCAGGCTTCCTCTGACAGTTAGGAGTCAGAGACTCCATTAAGACTGTGAAGTCATAGGGGTACATAAAGGGTTCAGGGACATTTTGACATTTTAAATCCAACTGTATTGTTCTAATTTAAGCTGGGTTTTCTGCTGAGGCCCTGGTTACCAGCATCAAGCTGAACCCAACCAGGAGACTGAAGAAAAATAGATCGTGTCAGCAGACAGGTTTCTCTGACAGGCTCTTGGTCTTCGTTGCCATGGTTCCACATAAAAAGCTGCTTGTTTATGGTATGTACATTAAAAACCAAGCCCTAATTCCAGCCTGGAAACTGTGCTCATTGGATAACTTCTGTGTTTGTAGGGTGACCACAAGATAGAACATGCAAGATAGAACATGCAATGGACAGATCATTAGGATGATTTCCATCGGCGGAGAGAGTATATAATATGGATCACATACAACAGAGTAGCTATGAATGCAAATACCTACAAAGGAAAAAAAACATCAGGCAGTTATTTTTTATTTATTGCATTAGTTCCTGATCTGTGCAAATACATTGTAATGCATTATATTTTTGTTAACTTTTTGCACATTTCAAGACATTTGAGTGTAATAGAACTGGTCTGATTTCCTCCTCCCTCCTCCAAAAGGTTTGTGTGAGTCAAGATTTGCCCAGGGGGCCACCCACAGCACTCACCGTGGCAGAAATATTCTCCTGGTGAAACGGAGTTACAGCCTGCATTTTTTTGGTAGCAATGGCTTCCAACACAGAAGCACTGAAGTAGAACAGAGCTGCTGTCTCCTGACAGATGACATCCTAAGAAAATAAAGATTACATGCAGTTATTCCCAAGACGGGATCACGCTGCAGAGAAGAAAGCAAAAGGAACCCACATGAACAAATCCCAGGCTGTGATTTGGAGTGCAGTAGGAAAAAAAAGGAGACAATCATTACCAGTGATAAAAGGAACAGGTCCTGAGGTTTGCTACATGCACTTACCAAAGTGACCCAGGAGCTACTGCCCCCATGCGCCCCGCACATGTAGAGGAACAGGAGTACAGCAGTCAAGACAAAGCAGAACACAGAGACAAACATCACCCAGCCCTGCAGTGAATCATTTGGAACCTTCGAGCAGGCAATGAGGATCCAGACAAGGCCCCCAAATATCTGCAAACAAAAGTGAGAGAAAGGTGAGTGTGGAATGCCTTGCCTTCTCCAGAGCTAAGCAAAAAGCCATACACACTTCTGGTACTTGCACTGTATGTGGCAATAGTCTGGCAAAGCCTTTGAGTTCTTCCCCGCATCTACTTGAATGTGAGTACATAGCTGGGAACATCTGCCTCTGATCTGGGCCCCAAAAAGCACCATCACCTCTGGGGTTCACTGTTCATTGCCCCCCTCCCCACCTTGCTGTGCTCAGCAGTCTGCTTCAGGCTATTAGTAAAGGCTGGTTTTGAAAACAAAGGTTTATTTTAGGGCACATCTGTTTCACACCCAGAGTGGCAGGTCCCTGAAAGGAGTGGAGACAAGCCCAGCCCACTGACGCAAGCAGCACAGACATGTGGCCTCATGATCACCTTGTGATGAGGTGGTCATCACCTTTGAGCTGAGTGCCTTAAGAATGTGATTCAGGGGTGGAGTTGGTAGAGTTGATGGTTGCATGGGATGAGTCTTTTCCAAACTAAATGATGCTGATTCTATATAAGCAGTGCTGCCATGCTTGTGCCTGAACATCAGTTGCTCTTAATTTTCCTGGTTAACCTTCAGAGCTAAGATTGTTCCCATCTCTTGGCATACCCTCCTCAAGCCTTTGGCAGCCTCCAAGTGTCAACTCATCCCAATCATGGCATTTTCATTTCCTTGGGGTACTTCTGCATGTCGAAAAGAAGTTTGTGATTTATGGCACTCAGAAAGCACTGCATCAATCATGTCACCCCAGCTTTATAGAGGAAAATTCCCTGGAGACTTCTCATTTCTCATAGTTTCCCATCCCTCCTTTCTCTGGGATGTGATTACTCACTCGGGTAAATGTTTGACATGATTTGATTGCTGGCTTTCTGATTTTATGGTGTTGCTGTTCTGTTGACTTGTAAAAAATCAAGACTGGACCGAGAGGCTTTCAGCAAAAATTCACAGCGCATTGGTGACTGCAGTCTGAGAAAAACTTAACTTTAAATAGCCTTTTAAAATACAAGCAAATCTGTTTTCAGTTTATTCCATTTTCTTCACTCCACAGACCCAAGTGCAAGATTTTGTCCAGATATACAGAAAACTTCAAATACAATAGATGCTAAGAATTAAACCCAACCTCTCAGAATACAGATGAGAGGTCAACACCCAGAGGTAGTCATACCTTCTGCAGCAGCTGTAGGACCATTCAAAATGCTTCCCCCCCACACCCTGCAGTTGCACTGTAGGCAACCTCGGATTCTGGGATTGAGAACTCTTCATCCTTCTCCTGAATGCTATGATTTAAGGAGCCACCTCCTTTGTACACAGTGGAAAAAATACACCTGCACAGCCCAGAACCCTCTACCCCACTGACAGAGGACCCAGTTCTGCTGCATTCCTCTTTCCCTGGGTGGTGCCAAGCCTTTAGGACGTAAGTTTCCAGACCTCCCCAAGCCATGAGATGGGCTATTTCCTTATGGCTCATTAAACAAGCTGCATGCCAAATCCCCTGCAGTCAGGAATTACAAGCAAACAGCTCAAGGTACAGCCAGTGCCATAAGCACGCCTCGGTGGGCATCAAGCTCAGCACCAGAACAGCCTCGCCACTGTCAGCCTAGCCAGAACCTCCACAGGACTTTGTGTACTCCATGCAGCTGCAGGAAACCCGGACCTTGTTCTCAGAGAGGGATCGAGTCTTCAGAGCACATCTAGGTGGCCAGAGGGAAAGCCTTTCTCTGCACGGTAATGCCTTCTTTAGCCCAATTCCTTTTTGCTTGCCTGATATCCCTAGGAGAAAATCAGTGCTCTAAATCCCAGGGATGTGAACTGGGTAGAACTTTGGTTCCAGATGGCAAAATTGAATTTAGGGTGTGAAATCATGAGCTCTGTCCTACGGTATGCAGCCAAACCACTCAGTGCTGAATGAAAGTGTTCAGACACAGGAGAAAGCCTCTTGAACTGATGTGAGAAGAGCAAATTTCATCAGCAGAGGAAACAGGAAAAGGTTTCTCCTTGAAACTTTCAGTCAGTGCTCACAGCAACAGGATTTAATTACCTATGCCAAATCCTTTAATATACTGATCTTCTTCCACTCAGTGAGAATAGAAGGAGCAAGGTGCTCACTCACCCTTCATTTAGCCCCATGCCCAGCTCCAATGCTTCACCTCCAGCCCAGGAAAACTGTAGCTTCAGCAGCTGAAGCTTTTTGCTGATGCAGTTATCTCCCTGCTTTAAAAAAGCATTTTATCCTTTGTGTGCATCTGTTGCTAAAAATCACCTACCAGTTGGGTCAATTTGACTATCTACCTTAAAACCACCAGCAACCCCTGCAAATCTGTTAAGCAACAAATTACGGAAGGTTTTTAAAGGTGCCACGACCACCCCCCACAGACTGAAGGGAGTTGTAGAGCCCCCAGTTAGGGCTTGTGGCTTTCTTTAAGGGAGAGCTGCGGGCTGCCCCCAGATGCTTGCAGCTCAGGGCCCTGTCTGGGCCCCTGGACCACATGCTGTCTGCTGAGAGTCATCCCTTGGACACCCACAGCACCAAGTGTGCTGGGGGACCCGTGAGCAGCATCTGCCCTTCCCAGGGAAAAGCTGGCACTCACCATTTCGGGGATGAAGAGAACATCTGGAAAAGTTGTGAAGACGGACAGGCCGCTGGGTAAAGAGCTCCTGGAAGTTGCTGAGGACATTGTGAAGCTCTCCCGCATTGATGGTTGGTCTCCCTGGAGGCAGCTGCCAAATACAGTCTCCTTCCCTCCCTCTCTCTCTTCCTTCTTCCCTCCCCTCCTTCTTGCTCTTCCCTCCCTCCTTCTCAGTGGCAGGCAAAGACAGCTTCGAGAGCCACAGACGTGGCCAGAGCCTGTGATCAGGTATAGCTCTGTGACTGGTCGTGGCCCGCAGGAGGTTTTCAAGAGCTGTGGGCAGCCCTGGGGCGTTTCAGTCACAAGCAGGGACACACCATGCAGGGCAAGTCCTTGGGCGGTGGCGGGTGGCACTGGTTTACATCCAAGGCCAATAAGGATGATCTGTGCTGAGCCTGCTTGCAGCATCTCTCATTCCCTCTGTTTGCACAGCACTTCAGCTTGTCCTCCACCCTCATGAGCTGGCCACAGAAAGCACAGTGGCAGGTGGCAGAGCAAACCAAGGCGTACCAGCTCAGGGCTGGGAGATATCCCATGGAGGGGTCATGCATCCTGGGATGGTCAGGGGTAGTTGTAAGGCCACCATCTTTGTTGTCTCAGGTCAACATAATGAAAATGGACTAAAATAATGAGATTTACCAAAACATTTGGCTTCATCTGTTCTACTTTTTTAGCCTGGAGTTCATGGGAGTGAGTCATTTCCCCTTCCCTTTATATGGAGCATTAGCTTCTTATTACCATACTCAAGTCATGCCCAGCAAAATCACAGCGTTGGAGACATTAAACATCAATAAATGGAAAGGAACAATGTGGTCATTGTGGCCATCCATTGCCAGAAACCAACAACCCATAAAAGAAATGCCTGTCAGCTTGTGAATGCTGCTCATACTGCGGCAGCTGCTCCCAGCCACGGGTCTTTGGTGTAGGCTCTAGAGCAGGAGGTAGGACTGGTTGCCTCTGAGAACATGCTGTCGGGATCCCCATGCAGCCCCACCAGCCTCCTTGCAGTGGCAGTGAGGGACACATTCAATTGTCCACATTTTGTTTCTTGTGACAGCAGCAGTAGCTGCTCTCTAGCCCTTGGACAGAACAGGTATCCTGAGCAGCCCTCAGCATGGTGGTGAGGCTGCAGGAGGTGTAATTGTGGTGTCTGTGAGTTGGTTGCAGATCTTTTGAATCATAGAATGATCTAGGATGAAAGAGCCTTCACCATCATCAAGTGCAGTTGTCACCTTGACTTACTTAGTCCCATTATCAAACCATGTCCCTAAGGGCTTCATCCATACGTCTCCTAATACCTCCAGGGACACCACTTCCCTTGGCAGCCTTTTCCAGTTCTCCATGTAGAAATTCTTCCTGATATCCAATCTATAGCCTTCCTGGCACAACTTGAGGCCATTGCCTCACGTTCTTTCACTTGTCACCTGTGAAAAGAGGCTGACATTCTCCACACTGCAACATTCTTTCAGGAATTTAAAGGGAGTGATGGGATCTCGTCCAGACTCAACAACAGTTGAGCAGTTTGCTCAGCCACTCCTCAAGTTCCTTCCAGACCCTACACCAGCTCTGTTGCTCTCGTGTTTACAACTTGGGCAACTCAATACTCTAGTTGCTTTTGTAGCAGGTTGGCGGTCAGGTGGGAATGGAGAGAGCTCAGCAGGGATGGAGTAAATGCCTGTCCTGTACTACAGGACACAGATTTGGGGGTGATGAGTACAAAAAGTGATGGCCAGGGGTCACCCCTGTGTTCCAGTTTGTGCCTCTGGCTTCTTGTCCTTGCACTGAGCACCGCTGAAAAGAGCCTGGCTCTGCCTGCACCCTTCCTTCAGGTATTTATAGACATAAATGAATGTACAATGCTGGCCCTAGCACACACCCAGGGGTGAGACTGCGAAACTGCCCTCAAAACTTGAACCCAGGGCAGCTTAGTGGGAAGAGCTGGACCAGTCCAGCCACCTGCCAAGGAGGAGCCTTAAAGGTCTGAAAAAAGCTGCATTCCCCTGGGGATTCCTGAAGAACAACGAAGAAGCTGACATGACAACAGCAAAAAATCTGTGTTTCAACCAGCAGAGCCTTAGCATGGAGGAGTGCAGGGCTTGGCACAAGGGTGGTGGCCAGGCTCAGAGCTAGTGCGGATGGGTGTCAGCTGCTCCTTTGACCTGAGTCTTCCATGGCTGAGGGAAAAGCCCAAGGACTATGCATGGGGCTGCTGTGTCTGGAGGGAACAGCTGCCCTGGGCACTACATGGAGCTTTTCTTGAAGCTGAGTCCTAGTGCTCCACTTTAACAGTGTACTCAAAGGGAGTACTGGACAGCTTTCTGAGTGCTCACTACTTAAGGACACAGAGAGAGATAGGATATTAGGTAACAGAGGAACGGTATTAAGTCTGGAAACATAAGTGGACAAATCTACGCTTACCAAAATATTCCTTTCTAAATTCTGGAATGGCAGGCAAGACCACTTGGCTTCCCTGGCTGTTGGAAAGCACCAATGAAACCCACTTGAAAAGAGTTCTGACACTAAAGACATGACAATCTCTTACTGTGTATTATCACACACCAATGTCCTCAGGAAATCTCTCTTTTTCTGTGTTTTCAAACTGAGCAAATCTAAAGCTGAATAGCTGAAAGGAGATTTTCCATGTTGTAGAATCAATGACACAAAATCTGCAGAAGATCTCAAGTGAAGTAGCCTGAAGGAAATGAAACTGTCTTCAGATGACTACCTAAAAAGACCCAAAAAATCCCAACAAAAAACAAGGCTGATGGTATGCATGGGTGTGAAAATAGTTATGTCTTCTTGAAGGTATTGTTGCCACCCACTCAAGAATGACATCAAGTCACAGTGACTTTCCAGTCTCCCACTGCTACAGCCAGCTTTGCTGTGCTCTAACTATTGCACAACCAGCCGCTCTGTGAGACTATGCAGTTAATGTTCCAGCAGTTGCTTTTGCTTTATTTACGCAGAGCTAATCCATGTAGAGCTTGGCGTTTTAAGAAAGAACTAGATATGAGATTATCACTCAGAAATTACCAGCTTCTTTCTCTGTCAACAGAGCCTTGACTGAGGCTGCCCACACAGCTATAGGTGGGGTTAGGTGGGGTTAAATGGGGCTAGCTGGTGTTGCAGATTGAGTCCTTGGCTTTCAACCTCATGTTCCCTTACTCGACCTCTGGTAAATCTACTGAATGTAGAGGCAGTGCTGCTGCAAAGTTCTCCTTAGCTGGGCATTCCATAGCATGACCAAAAGCAGAAGAAACATCATTGAACTTTGATACCTTCCTCCAATAATGATTAGATAAATTCATGGGCCAGTCCAACTGCAGGCATACAAGAAGAGGTTTAGAGCAGTCCCATTAAGGTTTCCCCAAGACCTCCTGCAGAATAGGGTGCTAGGGTTGGTGTTTCATTTGTTCAGCAGTCAGCTAGTCCACAAGCAAAACTTTTGTGTCACAAATAGCAGAGTGAAAGATCATGTAAACCCACAAGATGGCAGGAGATACTCAGAAATTTACCATCAGCTAGAAGGGCTTGTAGGCTTTTGTATTTCTCCTTTGACATGCCATTGATTTGGGAGAAGTTAAATGAAACCATGTTTTTAAATAAAATAGAAGAAGCCTGGTAAAGGTATGTCAGCAAGTGTTCATGGATCTCTTAGGAGTAGTGGGATGCTAAGCCTGGCAGGACTAACAGACCCATGTGAGTTATAATTAATGTGGAAACAAGAAGCAGACAACTAAGTTATCCTGTGATGGCAGGGTAACCATTTATAGGTCAAAACTCCCCACTTTGATGGCCAAAGGATCCCCAGCCCTAACCTGCCACAGTCACCATTTCAGCCTGGATGAAGCTTGCTGCCTGCAGAGGTGCCAACCAGGCAGTGTGACAGGGACACCAGTCCTTCCATTCTGAAGTAGACAACAGTTTCTCATTATGCAGTCCTGCAAACAGTGTGTCTGCAAGATGTAATGTTAAAAAGAAAATCTTTACGCTCAAAAGGTTTTAGCTGCTTGCCATTAAGTCTGCATGGTCCAAATCTATGAACATGACCGAGAGGCCCCACAGCACATTTTTTATTTCTGCTCTGTCAAGCCTTCCCTTTCAAGTTATCTCTTCCAAGTTTTTTGTAGGGCTGAAGCCCCTCGCAGGCACTAGATGCTACTTTATACATTGCTTCAATCTCCTAACTTAAAGTACATTTTAAAAATATGAACACTACAATAATGACTTCTTTTTTTTTTTTTTCCTGTGCTGCATCTGGAACATAGGCATGTATTTACTCTGATCTCCTCTGCGCTACTTCAGTGGATATATTTTTGTATCTGATTTGTACCGAGTAGGATTAATTTTTATCCTTAGACTTTCCAGAGACATATAATAGTATGGTGCTGAGCGTCTTTGATTAACTCATTCCACATAGGACTGAGTGCATTATTTGATGAATACTGTCTGTCCCCATGTGGCCAGAAACCAGAGCACATTCAGCCTTCAGATTTCTATAGTTCACTTGCCTTGATTAAGAAGGAACAGCTCATTTTGCTGAAAGGGGAAGTTATCACATAGCATACCAGTCCCTAGAAAGCCTTAGATTTAATTAACACGGAAATAATTTTCATATTCAAAAGTCAGATCTTCAAATATCCTGAAAACCAGTTACACTCACATCTGAACTCTGAGTTGTGTTATCAACCATTTTCAAGAGAACTCTGGATCCAGGACTGAAATTCAAGTAACTTCAATGCCTGAATCACTATAAAGGGACAAGCAAAGTCAAAACTAAAGGTTCTGTTTCACAGATCCTCATTCAGAGTGGAAAACCCACAAAGTTTGATTTACACATCCTGGCCTCTAGTTCTCTTGTCCTCTGTCACTCAAAGACTCATCACCTCCCACAGAAATGTAAGCATACAGACCTCCGGGGCCACCTTTGTGCCTGAATGCCTCTGGGACTCAGCCTGAAGGCTGCTGGGCATGTGTGCCTCTAGGTTGGCCTCTTGGCCTTCCTCTCACCTGCATGCCACCCTCCAGGCTGTTCATTCTCCTGGACTCTAGGCCTCCCTCTGGATCTCGAGTCTCCTAGGCTAGTCTCTAAGTCTGTAGGCCTTCAGGCATCCTTTTGGGCCTCAGGACGTCTGGGCCGATGTGTTAGCCCTTTGGCTGCTCGCAGTCTAGC